TATATATATATATTATAGAGAACGAGTAGTTATATTTGGTGATAATGTTCAAAAAGTAGTCAACGACCACCCTCTAAAGCACACCAATTGTGTATATTTGACTGTATTCAAGTAAATTGCTTGAAATTGCATCGTCTTTAAGAAATAACCACACCAATAGCAACCTCATTCTTTAAACCAATTCTCATTTCAAATAATACAATTTCAAAAGCAAAATAACACGGCACCTGATTTTCCGCTGCTAATTGTTAAATCTAGTTTGGCCATCAAAATTTGACAATTAAAATACAAGAAAAAGGAAGGAACTGTTATCAATGGCTAAAATTGAAGTACAATCGTTGCTGCTCCTAGTCCTAGATCCTAACAACAAAACAATTGATCCTAAAATGATGAAAATATAGGAAATTGTTAGTTTATGTAAAACATGCTATACTCAAAATAGAAAGCATTGCTAGTATGATTATTCTACTAGCCTTATTTACAATTTAAAAGTTGAAATCATTTAGTTTGATTATCTATGCAAAATTAAGCAAGCATGTCAACAATACTACATTAACTCACCATTGTTTCTCGGGGCTAGAGATAGAGATTGTGATGAAGACTGAAGGCATCAATTTTCATACATGGAACTTAATAAAGACACAACTTAACCAGTACTTAATACACATGTGTTAGTGTTGCTGTTTTGCTTATATGGAAACACCTAAAGAGATAAAGCTCAGGGATGGGATGCCTTCCCCATTAAGTCCTTCCTAACTTTTTACAAATAGTCATTATATTATCCTCTCATTTCCCCCAACAAGTTTGCCATGATTTTGGCAAACATTTTTGGTTGTAGGATTAGAGCAAATATACATAGATCAAGACAACGGTTTGCCATCCCTCCTCAAAGACCCCGGACATTGGAGACTTTTGGCCATTTCAAAATGTCAGAAGTCTTTGAGGGAGAGATGGCAAAAAGCTGCCTTAATAGCATCCAAGTTTTCACTTTTCACACAACAACAACAACAAAGACATTGTTTGTTAAAACCCCCCCAAGACCTCCTTGCATATTATATGTTTCAAAAACATAACAAAACTAAAAAGCAAGAAGCCCTTGAGGGAGAGTTGACAACCATTGCCTTCCAACTAGTCACTCGTTTGTATTTTCATCAAAGAGGCGAGACTCGTATTTATAATCACAAAAATGAGACACAAGATATTGGTGGGATCCATAAATTGACATTAGTCAGTACCAAAGATCCTTGTAGTAACTCTCCATAGGGTCCTAGAATTTGGCTCCTAAGGATAGAGTCAACCCCATTTGGATTGGATAAAGAATAAAAGCATCTAATCTAATAAAGGCATCTAAAACCATATCATTTTGACACATTTATTTTTGTTCCTAATCTCCTCTCCACATTTTTATCACAACGGGAGGAATCTTGAAAACTGGAACCTGATCTTAAATCTAAAAACACCCAACTAAGTTTTGGACACGTGTGGTAACTGGTATAGTACAGTTTTTCACCTTCACGAATCATCCATGAGGCATGGTGTAATCTTATCGGGGTTACCACTATCACTATGTATTGCATAAATCATACGCCCAAAGGTCGGAATCTCACATATTAAGTTTGTCCTTTGAAACTTCATGGATCATGAGGCCGATATGATTATTTTAATTAACCTAGATAATATTCTACAAGAAACAAAATAAAAATGTTTTAACCTGAAAATCTTGGATGCAGTTACTAGTATATACTGCGTGCTCGCTTTAGAAAAATGTTTCTGCAAGTGAAATCATGTACCCAGGACTGGGAAATATTCAAGATTATGCAAATTTTTATACTATCAAACATAATTTAACATATCCACCTGTGACTCGATTGCATGCATCATCTTAACTACATTATATGAAAACAGTTAACTGTAGTTCCAGACCTCAATAGTTGATTCTCAAATTGTCCAATTTTTCAAGATTCTTTCCATTATATCTTAACTCCAATGTCCAATTTGTCAAGATTCTTTCCATAAAGTATCAACTATAACAACAGTTAATACTATTACAGATACTCAATTTAGTTGATTCTAAAAAAAGTAGATATTACAAACCAACAAAAAGAAAAACAAACCAATGGAGCTGAAAAGTAATGCAACTTTTAATTTAGTTTAGTGGTTGTACTCCTGAATGAATGCATAGTTGTTGAATAAAAGAGCTTCTGCAGCTTCATCCTCAATCTATAATAACCTGCTGCAATGCTGAGATAATGAGATTTAATGAAGTTATTACCATCTAGTTTCCTATCAAATACCCTTAGAATATAAGGAATCACATAGGCAATGAAGGTGTTTGGGTTAAAAAAGGAAGGAAGGTTTTGGTAAAAACCCTAGGCTGAACTTCGCAACACTGTCAGTCCAACTCAAGAAGCAAAGCAACCAACCTACAATCAGAAATGAATGCCAGTATCAACAGTTACAGTAAACCATATCAACAAGCCATACATTTTAATATTTTATTACAAAAAGACAAACTCCACCTGGCAGCCACTAATAACCATTTGCACATCACAGCATATGTATATGCAAGCTGGATCCTCCTTCAAGCCATAGCTACAAAAAAATGCATTCAAAAATAAACATATATATAAATCATACATTATATGTCACAATCAATACGAGACGTCATCTAATTAAACAAAAAAAAAAAGACCTAAATATAGAAGATTAAAGATTGAAATCAATTAGGGTACGTATGTACACACCTTAAACTACACTTGATGAACCCTGGTGTGGTGTTGTCATTATCTCATACTCTTACGCCCTGGTTGTGAAGTTGGAAGCGACAATGCTTGTGTTGTGAATTGTGATGTCTTCTAAAACATGTTTTAACAGACTGTTCAGTAAGTAGCTCCCTGGATAAACAAGTAGAGTTGAATATATTGACCCCTGGTAGTAAATAGTAAATAGTAAATAGTAATAGCAGTAAAATTGGAGCCAGAGTCATCTTCCACCTCGCGTTTTGAGGGAAATCATTAAAATCTCATAACGCTCAGGCAAAGAATTATGCTGTAAGTTCATGGCCAGGTGTAACAGTAACACCAAGTACAACCCTTGGCAGAGAAACACCAGTTGTTGGTGGCTGTTGACTGGAAATCATCCGGAACAACTTGATTTTTACGAGAGATCCGGTTTGTCTTCACCTGATAAAAACGTACGTAGCCACACGTGATTCGGCACATCACAAGCTCAACCAACCCTCTAGCAATACAATCAACAAATTGCAAACATTTTACTTTTAAAATCAGAAATATCCGTCTCATCTTTCGCCCAGTGAAGACGGGTTTTCACATATCTTACCTTTTTCGTACCATTCTTCAATAAGGAACCTTTCCTTCTTCGGTCTTACTTCAACTAACTGACTTATGTCTTTATTCACAACAGACTGTATTTTGTTTTAAACTTTTCTTGCTAAAACCTCCACCTAAGAATTCTAGTGTCAGCTTCATCCACGACCAAAACCAAATACGTAGATTTGTTAGTTATCTTCACAGCACTCGTACATAAAATATTAATCATCCTGCAAACGACAATTTCAACTCACTGATTTGTTGGGCAACACCAGAACCTCCGTGATGGTGAGTCCCATTACTTTTGTGGAGGTGCCATTGGTCCGTCTCCAGACATGAGGAGTCCTTTATGTGTCTCAACATTCAACATTAATGCTACTAGGGTTTTACCTATTGGGAGAGCTTAAGTATTGGTTTATCATAATTTACTTTTCTGATTGTTTCTAGAATTTTAGCTGTTTGGTACACATCTTTTCCACGTATTTTCAGTTCCAGTTGTTTTCTGTCAACACCAACTTCTTCAACACTCATCTTCTGGATTTCCTTTACTTCAATCAATGTAAAAATGGGATGTAATCCTTTTGTCTTCTTAATTTACACGTTTCATGAATTCATCATCCAAAGGATCTTCATCATTTTCAACATTGGGATAATGAATCTTCACCACGAATGATCCTATTCCTCCCCATTGATCTTTTTTCATTGATTCCCATTGTCCTGAATCTTGCCATCTTTCTTTTCATCCAAACCAGTATGGATCAACTTTTTGACTTCTGGTATCACCATGGAATTCATGAAAGCATCTAAAGGATCAATTTCCGAATCATGCTTCTCACCACCATTCTGCAAAGGAGCCACCCATTAACAATCACATCACCATTTCCCCTTCTTCATTCTCTACAGGGGCAGAAGCTTCTTCATCACCAGATTCTCTTTCTAAACTCCAATTCTTGCCTGATTTGGGTTCATCCCTCTCTTCTCTCTCAGATTCCTCCTTTTTTCTTTTCTTTTTTTCCTGCCATTCTTCAACTCTCCTGCTTCTCTTCTCCATTTCCTCATCCAACTTTCGCTGTTCTTCCTCCATATCTTCTTCATGGGTTCTTACTTCTTTCTTATCTGAAGAATTTTCATCAGCCTTTTTCGTCCCACTATTATCTACACTATCTTCCCTCCGTCTGCTAGACACCTTACGTTCTCGTTCCTCATCCTTTTGATCATCATCTCTCCTCCGCCTCTTTCTATCTCTATCTCTGACATCATCATTTCCACAACCATTGTGATCCCTCTCAGCTCTCTCTCCCTTTCAGCCTCTCCTTCTCTCTTTTTTCTTTCTCCTTTGCCCTCTCTCTCTCCCTCTCTTTTCTCTCCTTCTCCTTATATCTGTGCCTCTCTTTAGGCTTCTCTTTTTCTTTGTGCTTCTCATCAACACTCCTTTCTCTCTCCCTCTCCCTACGTCTATCCCCATTACGATCCTTCTCGTGATGCCCCCTCTTCAACTCTTCCTCTTTCTTCACATAATCTTCCTTCTTCCTAGATTTATGCTTCGACTCTTCCATACCGTAGTTTTAACTCTAAACAAACAAATAAAAAAATTAAGATCCTTGTAGATAAAAACCCTAATCCCCAACATACAGTAACTATATTAGGTTTTCGAATCACATTATCAATGAATAAAGCAATTATTTCACATGAAAGAAAGAATATGATGAAATAGAAAGCGATACGGATAACTGAATTACCTAATAAACGTGCGTCTTTCGAGTCGAAAGAACTTGGATCCCTTTGTTAACCCTAATTTATTTGAAGTTTTTACAGCTTCGTACCTCAAGATCAGAAACGTGAGAATCAACAAGGGGGTGTTTGTTTCTTTTAGCAAGAAAAAGATAAAAAGATGTTTCGTAAAGCAACAGATGTTGTAAAAGCTATTTTGGATAGAACTTTTTGTAAAAGCTATTTTGGAAATGAACTTTTTGGAAAAGTCAGGTAAACCTGACTTTTTGTAACTTTTCCTAAAAATACTTTTGTCCCTCTCAAAAGCTAAGCGAAACACCCACCAACCGCGCAAACAGTGACGTAACGACTTTTTGTAACTTTTCCTAAAAATACTTTTGCCCCTCTCAAAAGCTAAGCGAAACACCCACCAACCGCGCAAACAGTGACGTAACGACGAAAGAAAATTAGGAGTTGGATTGGAAGGAGTTCGAGGTGGTTATCGGATGCTAATGGCGAAGATGATGACCTGGTACCGACTCTACGGGTATAGATAACGAGGTTAAAATAGTAAATGCAAAACCGATTTAGTTTGATTAGTGTATTGGACAAAATTAGATTTATTCATTCATTTTTTAAATTATTGAAAAGAGTAAAATGCAAAAATGGTGTCTATGGTTTGCATGTTTTTATTAAGGTCCAAAACAATTCAGCTTGCAAAAATAGACATTATTTGAAGGTTTTCATTGTAGATTGATAAAGATGAGAGTATTAAATCTAAATCTCATATCGGTACCGAATTTAAACATATGAGATGGTATGCGGTATTCAAAATTTATGAAATTATTGATTCAATATCATCGGTATTGGTGCTAGTACCGAAAATAGATATCATTCCTGGTACCAGTACCGATAATGTTAGTTCGATTCGGCACTCGGTATCATTTTTTCATCGAATTCAGTACTCAAGATTCTCAGGTTGATATCGGTTCCGTCTCATTCCCATTCCTATGATTGGTCCCTATTTTGTTAACTTTAACATCTATACAATTAAATTTAAAATAACAACGAATTTGCCCTTATTTTTCATTACATTATTATTTTTTTAGTATTTTGTGTGAGGCGTTTTGTTTTTTTTAACGGCTTGTCTGAGAGGCGTTTATCTTCATTGTAATCAATACTCTCCTTTCTCTCTTGTCTATAGTCGCCAACTGCATCCTTCTTGTCGGCGACTATGACCTCTCGTTGGTGCTCCACATGACCACTAACTTCCACCAACAAGTAACACCCATCCACCTGCAATACTCATATCTCTCACTACCGATGCCACCTGATTTTCGATATCAATAAATTACGAAGACGAAGCCATATAAATTTTGCACCTTGATTTGAAGATCATGTGGTTTATCCATCTATAACGAAACCAAGGTTTTAAAAGACGTGAAGTGTGACATGGCGACAAGACCAAGCCTCAAGCTTTACAACCCATGGCGTTGTTCAATGAGTCTTGGAAGGCGAAAATTTTGTATTAATTTATAATTCACATAGTTATTGATTTATATAAAATATATAAAGTTTTTAGAAATGTTATATCACCAACTAATAACAAAAAGTTAACAAAAACTCAATGGTTTTATGCATGATCAAAAAAGGCATAACAAAGAACAAAAAATGTGTCGCGAAAGGAAAAAACTTGTGTCATAGCACGTGTGACATCCCCTAATTTCTCGGCCAGAAAAAACCGATTTAATTTATGCTTTTTAAAATAAAGTCAGAGAAATCCT